GGCTTCACAATGTCGTTCTTTTCATCTTTCTGCAGAGTCCTGCAGTTCGGCTTCTTGTGGCAAGGCTTCCCACAATAGAAGCACTTTAATTCATATCTCGATCTTGATCGGCCTCTTGACTTGTCACGTCCATCACGACCCCGACTCTTGCTTTGACCCTGAGAGTCGGATTTTCCTCTATTCTCAGCAACATTTTCCTCGGAGTTATTGGTCACACCTCATTCTCTTCTTCTGGCTTCTTCATTTAGGAGGCTATCTTTCGCGATATCCATCTTCATTTTTCCATCTGAAGCTGAGTTACTCAATGTTACTACCAAAGTATCCCAACTTTCTGGCAGCAAGCTCAGTAGCAGCAACGCCTGCATCTCATCATCAATCTTTATCTCGGCTTTAGACAAATGATTGACAATACCTTTGAAAGTGTTGAGGTGTTCAATCATGCTTATGCAGATCTTGTACTACAGTTTCACAAATCGGCGAATCAAGTGTGCTTTGTTCTTGGGAGTCTTCTTCTCCAGCTTCGTCCATAACTCGTATGCGTTCGTGAACTCGGGAACGTGCTCAAAAAGGCTTTTGTAAATGTATTTCCTTATCATGGTCATCGCCTTACGATTCAGGATTTTTCACTCCTTCTTAGTCTTGCCTTCAGGCATCTCTTCATGGACGATGGGCTCATACATGTCCTTGCAATACAGATGGTCTTCCATCATCGATCTCCAATAAGTAAAGTTGTCGCGATCAACTTGAACATGTCGTCGTCATGGGCTATGCCACTGGTTTCTATCTTGTCTCCTCATAATCCTTTGAACTCGGGCTCTGATACCATTATTGGGAACTCGGTTCCCTCAAACTCGGCACAGAAGCGTTTGTAAGTCGGACGTCGAGCTTAGAGCTCGGCATGTTGAACCATAGGTTACCAAGACTAATGCATTGAAGTTTTGATGATTACAAAGCATCAACTAGCTCAACATACTTGAACAACTTGGACAATAGTGCAACAAGTCCCCAAATAAAGTTAGAAGATCAAGACAACATACAAAAGTGAAGAAGTAACTCAAATGTGCAAAGTCAACCTCAAAGTCAAAGTTTCTAAGTGAATAAAAACTCTAAATACAATTAAGACTTGAAGACCAATGAAGAAATTTGAAGACTCAAGAGTATATTGTTGGTAATGTAAATTAGATTCTTAGGAATGTTGAGAATTGAATTTATTGAACTATATTTGTTAAGGTTACATTTAGAAGCCATAAACTCATGCATTGAGAGAATCACATTCTTGACACACGTGGAAACTAAGGAAAGAAGATTTAGATTTTTTATTTTTAATCCAAATGATTTTTTCAAGATTTGATTTTTGATTAGAAAAAGAAAAAGTTAATTTGAGATTAATTTCCTTTTTGAAAGATTTGATTTGATTTGATTTGATTTGAAAAAGAAAAGGTTAATTTGAATTTTTTTTTTTTGAAAGACTTGATTTGATTTGGTTAATTTGAGATTAATTTCGTTTTTGAAAGATTTGATTTGATTTTATCAAATTTTGGAAAGTTAATTTGAAGATTTGGATTTTATTTTCAATAAGATATTTTGGAAAGCTTTCTTAAAAATCATGATACAATATCTAGTGCAAAAATCTAGATATTTTTTCTTAGGATTTGATTTTGAGAAAAAGTCTATAAATACCATACCTTAGTCCTTATTCAAAGTTCTTTTTGAGAATTAAGAGAATAAACAACATAGATCATTAAGAAATAATGATTAAACACAATTTTAGGCTATGTTTTGCATATTTTGAGAGAAAAACTCAATATTCTTCTTCTCTTCTTATTTTCTTTTTGAAATGTTTTATAACTGTGAATGTAGAGAGACTCCTCTACTGTTGTTTGAACGTTGTGATTGGTTTTGAGACGATTGGAGTGATCCTAAGAGGCTTAGGTTAAGAGTGATCAAGGTTTGGTCATAGTTCTTGTAAAATTCCAATTATGAATTGGTTATTGGTACAAGTGGAGTGATCCTAAAGGTGTTTCGGTTGAGCGTGGTCTAGGGAGATCATAGGTCTTGTAAAATTCCTCTTGTAAAATGGTTTCTTCAAGCACCAGTTGGAAGCTTGATGATAGTGGATTGACGACCTTAGTCTGGAAGTAGTTCTCAAGTGGTTAGAGAGTAAATCAGGATAAATTTTGGAGTCTTTCTCTTCTTTCCCTTAACTATTTTATTATCGCTGCAATATCTCTATTATCGCATGTTATTTGAATTGTTTTAATTATATGTTTGGGTTAGGAAAGTTATAGTTTTGTTCTATCACGTTCTTTGTTGTTTACTTATAAAATGGATTTTGTTTTCATTTGTTTCTTGCGTTGAAAGTAACACACAATTCACCCCCCCTTATGTTATTGTTTAGCCATTCTTTCAATACACGACAATCAGAATTAGAGTTGGCCTGAGTCATCAGGTCAGCCAGTGCAACGAAAATAATAAAAATGTAAAGGAGAGAGAGACAAAGAAGAACACAGTCAAGATGTTTAACGTGGGAAACCTTCTCAAATGTGAAGAAGTAAAAATCCATGGGACACTAATCCAGAATCAAACTTCCACTATGAGAATAATGAGTACAAGATGTCAAATTTCATCAATAATGGTGATACACTAAAACCTCATCTACAATGGTGGTATTCACTCAAACTTCCCTAAAGAGGTCTAACACTCAAACTTCTTCCTAGAGGTGCTCTCTCAAAATTGTTTCAAATTGTCTAACCCTAACCTCTCACATAACACAAGCTTATAAAAAAGAGGAGGAAAGATTCTAGAATATCAAAAATGGGAATTAGGGTTTCTTGAGCCCCACAAAAATACCATTGGGCCTTGTGTACCATTGAATGAGAAATAGCCCAACACCTCTCAAGCCTCCTCTTCGAACCAATTAACAAATGCGATAACCAAGTCAATGTATATTGTTATGCTTAAATGGTGATGCTTCCATTGAAAGGTTATTGCTAGTTGATCAACCAAGTGTGGGAACACCACCCAACACCAAGTACTCTATGAGAGCCTTTGGTTATTTTTTGGGAAGAGAATCATTTAAAATACTTAAACCTGCAAGAAGCTTAACTGACATGACCAGCAAGAAGAGAATCCAAGAACTTCCTTCCCCACTAAGAAATTTGATAAAAACAATATTATAAACATCGAGTGTGTAGAGATTCTGATTAGTTTTGAATAGTCAAGCGAGTTTGTTTTTCAGACCCTTCTCTGCTCCACAGGAGAAATCTTCCCCAATATGATTCCTCTGCTTGGTTTAGATGTTCTAGTTAGATACAGTGACCAATATTTGGAAGAAGGCTTTCTGTTTTTAGAAGTTATATTCACTTCTCAACTGCAAAAACTACTGAAAACCAACTTTTCAAATGTTCTAAGGAATTCCTATTTGATCATGACCCCCACCAAGAATGGTAGACCAACCTATCATACCCTATATCATTAATATGTTACATGCCCTCCACTCTCCCCCTTCTCATACCTTTGGTATTAATTTTATGATTACCACTATCTTGACTTATTTAGAATTAAAATACTAGTCAATACTACTTCAGACTTGGTTGTGAATGCCATCCAGATTGAAAGGATTACTTTGAGTGCAACTCACTTCTAAGCTTATGGGTATTAGGTACGGGACAGAGATGTAAATACCCGTGTTGGGCAGGTTTGCATTATGTAGTGTAGGCCTAATACTGACCTTGATGGCTATAACTCCTCTAAAATTCCCAATTGAATTTGTAGGCCTCAAATTTTAGCCTCAAATATGTGGGTCTCGTAATGGTTTAGTATTGAAAATGCTTGATTATCTCAATTTTATGCATTTAATCAGAAAATAAAATTTGGTAACATTTATAGTTTATAGCCAATTATCTATCAAAAAGGGATATGAAAGTGATACCTCACTCTATATAATCTGCAACTGCTGCCATCAGCAAGATATCCTTCCATTAAGGTGCTCCAACTATTACATAAGGTGTGTAGTTAAAGAAAAAATTTCATTTGTTGTACGAGTAGTGAAACCTATCAATAGCACGTAGAACATGAATTCCATCATAGCCATATCTTTCGGCTTAAGTGTATAGTGATGCAATGAACCCTTAAGTCTACCCAGGATGATTGAAACATTTTGTCGTATATAAATCGGACTCATGAAAGCTCTAGTCTTTGTGACAACCCCTATAGAGAATCATAGTGAAAAAGATTCTACAATCTTCAGCATCACTCAATGCCTACATCAACATAACAGTGTTACAGCCCACTAAAATTATTCCACTCATTCTCCAGTCATAATTTGGTAAGTTAGGAATTTGAAATGGAGTTCTATGCCACGTTGGACACCACAAAGGACGAAATTATTCAATCCCGGCGTGCAAATGCAGGAATATCCACGAGTCTACTATTTCCTGCTGGATTTCTGTTTGTGATTCATATAGTAGTCAAAATTCAATTATACTAAATACAAAGGAGGTTACTTTTCGTGGGACTATTTACTAATTCCTATCATAATTCATCACATCACCTTTGACGCAAAACTGATAATGCAATATAATGACCCTACTATCTATCACTTTTTCTATGAAATCCTCAAATGATATCAAATATCGTTTTGAAGTATAAATTATGTTTATTTTCATATCTATGAACTGTTTAATACCACCTTACAAATTGAAAAAACAATTAAGTTATAAAAGTACTGAGATAACAGCAGGTATACTCAAGTCTCTAACCGTTCGTTATGAAAATGAAATATTATAAGCATCTGTATCACAAAGATCGGGTTGAATCCCAAATTAATTTGAAGTTAATCATTTTTGTTATGTTGGTAGATTATTTGTGTTATGTCATATTAATCCATAAAATGAACGAATTATATTTTGACACAAATCTTTATTCTATCAAACCTCAAACCAACATGACCCACCGAGACGAATTCACAATTCTAACTAATATAATACCCAACGCAACACTGAAGGAAGTTATTGTCATTTAATGATATAGATGGGAAATAGTTGCCGTTTAATACATTCTGAACTGAATTTCAGGGTTCAGTGTGTGCATTGCTTAGAATATACAACTTATTTAAAGCAACATACTACAAAACATAGATGAAAGCAATGCCAGGGTTTTTTTATTTTCCTTCTCTAGAACATCTTTCCGATACCATCCTGCCTGGGAACAGATCCATTAACATCCATTCGCTGCCAATTTCCAACAAAAGATGCCAGCTGCTCGACCTTGTCAAACAATCCTAGGAGGCCACCCGTATGTATGAAGAGGACCTTTCTACCTTCCCACTTCTTCGGATTTTCAAACATATCTTTCCGCATTGCATAAGCAGCCTTACCGCTGAGAGGGTATTAACAACCGAATATGTAGGTTGAGTAAAATCAGCAATATTTAATGTGTAACTTTTAACTACGTTTACATTTTCAGACGGAAAGGGTAAAATGTAAAACTGTTTCTGTTACCGAAAGGTCAAGGGCTCTAATATGGAAAACAGTTTCCTTACAAATATATGCAAGAGTAAAACTATGTAGCAAATACGCAAAGATAAAGCTGTGTACAAAAATTGCTCTCACTTCTATCTTCCCTTGGGATTTAATGGAGAGTGGTTTTTTTAACATTTTCAGTTTAGACATTTTTTTCTTTTTCTTTCCCTTTTTAACTTATGTTTGGAATTAGCAAGTCACATGCTAACTAAGGAACCAAGAATAAGAAGTATTAAATAAAATGTGGAAAATTTAATACCTAGAAACCCCCCCACCCCCCAACAAAAAAACAAAACAAAAAAATACTTACTTATTTATGTAACTACGAGAATAAGCATGACCCATAAGTTTTAGTATTGTAGAATTTAGTTTTTACAAATTCACATATATTTCCATAGGACTTATTTTCTGTCTCTTAAAGATAATGATTAGCTATAAACTGAAGAAGAATGTAAGCTATCCAAGTCCTATGATCCCAACCACATAATTGCATCAATTTGAGTAATCAATATTTTCAGAAGGTTCACCAATTTTCCATGATAGCATCTACACAAACTTTTACAAGATGTACAAATATACATGGCCTTATGCTTCTACTTGACAAGGAACTACAATTTTTCCAGCTATAGAATAATAATCAATTAGTTGAGCTAATCCTACTAAAATAAGATGGAGAGAACTACTGATTTTGTGAAAGAGAATCATGTGATGTACAAAGAATGGTCTTCTGTAAGTGAAAAAAGATAAAGAAGTAATGTCGTTCATAGTAGATCTAAACATAGAACTTTGACATTATACAATGTCTGGAACAAATAAATACCTGTATACCGGGTCAAGAACAACACCAGTAGCTTCAGCAACTTCTTTTACAAACTTAAGCTCCTCAGAAGTGTTCATTGCATAGCCAAGACCCTTGGCCTGTTAACAGTTAAATTCGCATCATCAATCAAAGAGCATTGTAAAGCCAGATGAAGAAGCAAGTTTTCCAGATCACAATCATAGGTATTTGAAGACTGATAAGACCCCACTAAAGGTTTATTATAGGAAGCGTCACAGGGAATTATATAAGGATGGTGACTCAGCTGCAAATGGGTATTCTGTTAGACATTTTGCTATGAATAGGAATAATGCTGAGTTGGCACCTAACGTCAGCTGAGGGATTTAAGGAGTGGAAGGCGTGAAGAAATGCTAGGCTGGGAAATAGGAACTTGGATTGGGAGAGCTTAGTACCTCTAGAATTGTACAGAACCAGCCTCAGGGCGTATCAACGCTGTTGTCTTTCTCTTATTTCTGCAATTGTCCTTTTATTTCCTTACTGTCATAAACTATCAGTGTTATTGTACTTCTTTCATTGAGTAATATACAGAAAACCCAGTTTTACTGGACCATTTGTTGTGTGTGGTGTGCGTTTTACTTTGATATCTGATCCAATCTTATCAACTAGTATCAGAGCGCTCCAATCCTAGGGGTGCTTTGAATGGTACTTACTCGCAAAATGGACAATTGATTGGAAATTGTAGAAGAGCGTCTTAGAAGGAGCAAGGAGATCGCTGAGGAACGCCATCAAAGGAATGAGCAGTGTTTGAATAAAATCCTGCAATTGTTGCAACAGAATCCTCGAAATCATGAGGGACGGAGCCGTGACAGAGGTCTCCGTTGTGGTCGCTCTAGTAGGCAGAGCAGTGAGTCAACCAAGTCAGGGGCACGATACACGTTAGAAGGAGGTTTTGGAGAAGGTGTGACAGCCCCCAGACTCGAGTTGCCAAGGTTTGCTGGCGACGTGTCTTCATGGCTGACAAAGGTGGAGCAGTATTTTCTGGTCAATGGCGTTTTGGATAGAGATAAGGTAAGAGTTGTTATGGTAGTGTTGGAAGGTCCAGCTATGAATTGGTATTACGTTTGGGAACGGAGCAATCCAAATGCCTCTGGATGGATTTCAGAGAAGTGATGTATCGATTCCAGCTAGAAGTAACATGAAGTCCATATCAGGAGCTCATTAGCTTGAGGCAGACTGGCAGCATCGCGACTTATAAAGCTAAGTTTGAGAGGATAATTAGTCCCCTCCGTTATGCTGCTGAAATGATGATCAAGGAAATATGGTAGCATGGAATTGTGAGTGTCTTTGAATGGAGTTAATGCAGAAGAATACAACAACCCTGTCGGAGATGATGAGGGAGACCATGCTGATGGAGAAGGGGAATGCTTCTTGGGTCGCTGATGGGTTTGGAATCATGGGGGAGGCAAGGGATTTGGATTGGACCGTGCTAGTTAGCCTAAGAAGGGACCCTCAGCCTTGCCCAATACAAGGCACGTGACCCATAATTCAGCTAACACGCACAGTACCGACACGCGTTTAGGTGGTCAAAATCACCTAAACGTGACGACAACAACTAGGGAAACTCAAAAGCTTGAGAGTTCTGGAAGCAACAATGCAAAGGGAGGAGGGAAAAGACTCACACAAGCAGAATTCCAAGATAGGATGCGAAGGGGTTTTTGTCTCAAATGGAAGAATGTTGGGATCCCAATCATCAGTGCCGGTTCGCTCAGCTCCAACTAATGGTGGTTGACGAAGAGGAAAGGGATCCACAAGTTGATGAGGACCCACATAGCGACGAACCAAAAATGGAGGAGGAAGTTCTGCAACTCTCGATCAATAGCGTCCTAGGGCTCTCTTCGAACCAAACTATGAGCTTTAGGGTTCGATTAAGGGTTAAAAGGTGACAATGTTGGTCGATAGTGGGGCGATGCATAATTTTGTAAGTCATTCAATGGCTGAGAAAGTGGGGTTAAAGATCAAAGAAACACCTCACTTCAAGGTGGAGGTGGAGGTGGAGATGGGCACAGGGTGGAAAGCCAAGGTGTGTGTCGTCAAATGAATCTGCAAATTCAAGGGCTACGAACTTGTCAAGACTTGTTCATCTTTGAATTAGGATGAGCCAAAGTCATTCTGGGATTGGAGTGGCTGAGGAGCTTGGGTGAAATAACGACGGATTTCAATCAGCTAATGCTGAAGCTCCAGGTTGAGGGGGAAGAGGTAATTTTGTGGGGGGATTCATCTCTCTCTTGCAAACGAACCCTAGCTTCTTTTTCCTCCACGATGAAGGCGCTGAGGGTAGAAGGTCAAGGGTTCGTGGTGGATTCACAGTGGGTTCAAGACACATAAACAGAAGGAGGTGATAGTTGGTTGGAACATGAGCAGCTTTTGGCAGAATTTGAAGACGTTTTGTGTGTGCCACAAGGGTTACCACCTACTTGTCGCCATGATCATGCTATAGAACTCAAGCCAGGAAGTGAGGTCCCAAACCTGAGACCTTACAGGTACCCTCACTACCAAAAATCCTTAATTGAAAATCTTGTCTCTGAACTGCTTAATGCTGGGATAATAAGACCCAGTGTCAGCCCTTATTCGAGTTTAGTCATTCTTGTAAAGAAAAAAGACGGTAGCTGGAGAGTTTGTGTGGATTACAGGGCACTCAACAAACTCACAGTACCGGACAAGTTCCTAATCCCTGCTATTGAGGAGCTTTTAGATTAATTGAGAGGATCTTGTGTCTATTCCAAATTGGATCTCAAGTCTGGGTATCATCAGATACGAATGCGGGAGGAAGACATATCCAAGACGGCGTTTAGAACCCACGAGGGCCATCATGAGTACTTGGTGATGCCTTTTGGGCTCACCATAGCTCCTTCTACATTTCAGTCTTTGATGAATGAGATCCTGAAGTCGTTCTTGCGCAAGTTTGTTTTAGTGTTTTTTGACGATATATTGATTTATAGCAACAACAAAGAAGATCATCTTGAGCACCTCAGGTTGGTTCTTAACACATTAAGGGTACACAGTTTGGTGGCAAACCGGAAAAAATGTAGCTTTATCAAGTTGAATATTTAGGCCACATCATTTCTCGCGATGGTGTGAAGGCTGATCCTGCAAAAATTAAGGCTATGTCAAATTGGCCTACTCCCAAAGATGTAAAGGGGTTGAGGGAATTTTTGGGCTTGACCGGATATTATAGAAAATTTGTTCAAGGGTATGGGAAAATTGCAAAACCCTTGACGGACCTACTGAAAAAGGATGCTTTTCATTGGACTCAAGAAGCTCAGTTTGCTTTTGATCAATTGAAGTAATCAATGTGTTTAGTGCCTATTTTGATTCTACCAGATTTCAACAGACCTTTCACGGTGGTCACAGATGCTTTAGGTAGGGGTTTAGGTTATGTTCTTATGCAGGAAGATCGCCCAATTAGTTACATAAGTCAAGGTTTCTCCCCAAAAGCCTTGGAAAAGTCCGTTTATGAGAAAGAATTAATGGCAATTGTCTTTGCCGTTCAGAAGTGAAAACCATACCTTTTGGGCCGACATTTTATCATTAAAACGGACCAAAAGAGTCTTAAATTCCTCACGGATCAGAGGGTGTTGGGGGATGACCAGCAAAAGTGGATTTTGAAGTTACTTGGGTATGATTTTGAAATTCAATATCAACCCGGCAAGGAAAACATTGTTGCTGATGGTTTATCAAGAAATCTGCAATACTTTGCCTTATCTTGTGTGGATTCCTGTAGGTATGAGGAGCTGGAACAAGAATTACAACATGATAGCAGAATGAAAGCCATTATACAAGATTTGTTGACCAGTCCAGAAGCTCATTCTGGGTTCAGCTTACATGAAGAACGTTTATTCTATATGGGAAGGTTGGTGTTGACGAAACAATCCAAGTTCATTCCTCTAGTGCTTCATGAATTTCATGACTCTCTTATGTAAGGGGAGCATTTTGGTTTTTTACGTACATACAAGAGGGTGGCAAATTTGGTTTATTGGGAAGGCATGTGTAAGAAGATTAAGGAGTATGTTGCAGCTTGCTCTGTGTGCTAGCAGAACAAGACTTCTACATTATCACCAGGAGGGCTTTTACAGCCCTTGCCTATTCCTACAAGGGTCTGGTCTCATATTTCTATTAATTTCATTGGAGGATTGCCCAGGGCTCAAGGGGTTGACACCATCCTTGTGGTAATGGATCGGTTGTCAAAATATGCCCGTTTTATTCCCCTGAAACACCCCTACACTGCTAAGGAAGTGGCTGTAATTTTCATCAAGGAACTAGTTAGGTTGCATTGGTCCCCATCATCCATTGTGAGTGATAGGGACAAAGTGTTCCGTAGTGCACTTAGGTCTGAACTATTCCGATGCAGTGGCACTAAACTGAAATAAAGTATGGCATACCACCCTCAATCCAATGGTCAAACGAAGGTAGTGAACAAGTGTTTGGAGGATTGTTTGCAGTGTTTTTGTTCTCCTAAGCCCAAAACTTGGCCTTCTTGGTTGCACTGGGCCGAATTTTGGTACAACACTACCTTCAAAAGCGCCACGAGTACTACGCCCTTCAAAGCTCTATATGGTTGTGACCCTCCCACTTTATTCAGATCTGGTTTTGTAATATCTCCAATGGACGAGGTGACCACTATGCTGCAAGACCGTGATCTGATTTTGCAAGAACTGCAACAACAACTTGCAGTTGCACAAAATCGGATAAGTTACACGCTAATCAACATAGACGGGATGTAGAGTTCCAGGTGGGAGACATGGTTTATCTCAAACTTCAACCTTACTGCTTGCGTTCTCTGGCTAGAAGGCTTGATGAAAAGCTTTGTCCATGCTTCTCTGGGCCTTATGAAATTGTTGCTAGAATTGGAGCCACTGCTTACTGTTGAGATTTTTTTACATGGTATTAGAGCCTCGTGTCTCGGGTTCGATTCTCGCCGCCCTCCTCCCTCCACTTTCTTTTGTGGAATTTCTTAGCACAGATAGGCTGGGCCTATTGCATTATCCACCTTTCAAGCCCAAAGGGCTCTCTCGTGAAGGGATGTGTTGAGATATATAAAACCATTAATGTAGCCTTACCCAACAGTTTAAGCTTTTGGGTTGAATTGGTACTTTACACTTACAAATTAGTCTTGCCAGATAATTCCAAGATTCACAATGTTTTCTATGTGTCTCTCTTAAAAAAAGCTATCTCGCCTACAACTTTAGTGCAACCTTTACCACCCATGTTAGCCGAAGATTGGGAACTTCAAGTGCAGCTTGAGAGTGTCTTGCAATGGCGTAAAACTTCCATGGGGCGGACGGAGGTTCTAATTAAATGGTGCCAGCTACCTTCCTTCGAAAGCACATGAGAGAATTCAACTCAGTTCAATGCCTAATTTCCTGATTTTCACCTTGAGGGGGAGTATTGATAAGACCCCACTAAAGGTTTATTATAGGAAGGAAGTGTTACAGGTAATTATATATGGATGGTGACTCAGCTGCAAATGGGTATTCTATTAGAAATTTTGTTATGAATGAGAATAATGCTGAGTTGGCACTTGATGTGCCGAGGGATTTAAGGAGTGGAAGGCGTGAAGAAATGCTGGGCTGGGAAATAAGAACTTGGATTGGGAGAACTTAGTACCTCTAGAATTGTACTAAACCAGCCTCAGGGCGTATTAATGTTGTTGTCTTTCTCATATTTCTGCAATTGTCCTTTTATTTCCTTACTGTCATAAACTATCCTTGTTATTGTACTTCTTTCATTGAGTAATATACAGAAAATCCAGTTCTACTGGACCATTTATTGTGTGTGGTGTGCATTTTACTCTAATATCTGATCCAGTCTTGTCAAAGACACTTTAAGTTGTGACTTTTCAAGCAAGCATGTCAGGCCGTAGGAATTTGATCATTGATTTGCTTTACCGGTATGTACTCCTTTCCCCTCTAGATGAGGATAACTCCAATTTGAATAGAGCATGAAAACCAACAGCAGAAAGACCAAGAAATTGCATGTGTTTACTTTCAACAAAATCGATCAGGAAAAAAAATGGAACCTGATCTACAGTTCCACTTAACCTAGACACTTACGTTTTGTATATGGACAATATCTCTCGAGTTAACATCAGCTTTGAGTCCATCAAGCAAGCCTTGGACAAAGTTGTGGAAGTAATCTGGGTCATCACAAACGGAGAATGCATGTACCTATAGGGAGCACATAAATGATACATCAAGTTTGCAAAAACAAGGACTATACGAATCTTCTAAAAGGAAGGCATACCCTTGCTTTCAATGTACTCAATGATGATCCCAGTGACAGACCCGCAATTGTGCCTCCACTGGAAATTAATAAAAGTAGGATGTTAAATAGATGAAAATATACTTAACTATTATTCAATAGAAAGTGTTTTTTCATGGTAGTGTGTAAATTAGACAAAAAAATGAACCACAATACTGCCTAAACTCACATTCACTAGGAAGTTTGGTCGTACATCATGAGTTGAAAACATTGGCATTCATAATTTTCACCACCAAATCTTGATTTACTATATTATACCCATGATCACTAAGGAAAGGATAAAGAAATCAATTAGACCATAACCTGCCACAAGCCACAACAATATCATCAAACTTGACATTGCTTGTCCCGCTTTGAATCTGCTGCTCAATTTCCCGAACTGCCTCTATATAACCCCTGATTAGAATAATTTAAACATAATAAGAATGTGAGATAAATAAATAATAAAGCATCTAAAATCAAGACTAGGGCAACAATGCAGTTCAAAACTTCTATCCATGTGAGCCTTCACCAATTTCACAGCAAATACATTTTTAGTAAAAAAATATTAAAGCAACAACCATCCTTGGGTGAAGTGGGCATAGAGGATTTAGACCATGGTAAAGTCCTACCTACAAAGCTTAACTATATATCTTAAATAACAGGAAATAGAATCTCTAGATTACTTTTAGCAATGACCAACAGCAGAAAATAAATAGTCAATAAACAACAAACCATTCAGCGAAAATTTTAACTTTCTTCAAAGTTTTTATTGCTTGTATTACTAGTCAGACATTAAATCATAAAAGTGATACACCTTTTTTTCAACCACTTTCATTATCTTCAATTCAAATAACACTACAAATTGATGAAGAATGGGTTTTATTATCAGTCTACCCAGACATATTAAATCATTAAGAATTGTTTTAGCCCATTGAATTGATTTTAAGACAGAATAAGCATGGTCAAATTTTAGATTACACAGGCAAAAAGCAAATAGGTTGTATTGGCTGCGGCCCCCTACGGACAGAGTATATGTTCCTTTAATAAAAGAACGAGTAATTTGAAAGGAATCACGGGTCATAATGTTATAAAAAGAAATGACTCAATGATATAGACTCACTCACCATGTTCCCAAAGAGTTTGATCCACCGACGGGAATAACATATGGCCTCCTCCCTTCTTTTATCAACTTTTCTTTTAGGACATTGGTAAGTGTCTGAGAAAAAGTTCAATAAACAAATAGTAGACAGCAATATATACAATCAAAATATATCAGCTTAGCTGACTCATATTTCAATGAAAAATAAGCGAGAACTAAAATGGAAGCAGAATTTTGAAAAATACGAAAACAGCAAGAGTTTTGACACAACAAAAACACCAACTATATTGGGCTACAATCCAGCGTGAGAACATTTTTCTAAATCATTAAGATTCGGAGATAGCAATGATGATAAGAAGGAATTGGCAGTAAGTAAGAAGCAGAAAAGCGAAAGTAAAAGAGTAAAGGGTTAATGAATGTGTTGACTGACCACACTTCCAATTTTTGCATATTCTTCTTTGGATACAAGTTGAAGGTGAGCTCCTACGAGACGCTCAACGAGGAGATTCCCTACGAGTCCTGGATCTTGGTCAACAAGGTGCTGAGAAAGGGAAAGAGATAGATAGATAGATAGAAGAAAATGATAATTGATGTTTGAATAGGATAGTTGTTACCTGAGAAGTGCGAAGTATAAGAAAACAGTCGAGGTTTAAATACTTAGCAGCAACGGCAGTGGCACGACAATGGTTGCTTTGAATGCCTCCAATAGTAATGATAGAGTCAGCACCTTGAGCAATGGCATCGGCCATCAAGAACTCCAATTTCCTGACTTTGTTTCCACTTAATTGCATTCCTGAAAGGTCGTCACGCTTCAGCCACACCTCCGTATTGCTTGGCAAATTGGGAAGGTTCCATCTGTGAATTGGACTCGGAACCTGATATATGTATATATATATATATATATATATATATATATATATATATATATATATATATCACAGATAGATGGATAGATAGATACATAACAAGAACAAATTAAACAAGTTTGGTTTCATTTCATTTCATTTGAAGGAAGGAAGAAAGAAATAAATAAAGAAAGAAAAAAGAAATGATTGATGGATTGATATACGGTTACACACATGTGCGAGAGAGAAGATATGAGAAGGTAAAGGGCGGAGATGGGATGCCCAGGAAGGAGGACTGTAAGTCTTCTTGACCAGGAAGTCCAAGCTTGACGCCATGAATGATGATATTCCTTCTTCTTGTGTTGTATAATGTATGTATGTACACTCTGCTCCACTACTTCCTTATCTTAAATAAACCCAACAAGCAGCCCGGCTTTAACCCGACCCGATAGACACCCGAAATTATTTGACGATACCTAATTTTCTAATCTATAGCCTATAGGCTGCGCTGCTTGTTAAATCCATCAATTTACAATTATTTTGTGTTGCTCTCTTTTTATTACTTTGGAAACTTTAATTCTTTGAGCGGCTATAGGCCTATGGCTATCAGAGTTTAGTCTAATTGTTTATTTACTCTATATATAAATATATATATATAAAGATATGATCTTTTGACATCAGTGTCAAATTTAAATTTTGACACCTTATCTGAAAGTCATTAGATCAAAAAAGATCAATGGTGTCACATGCTTACAAATCAGAGTCATTGATTTTTTTTTATCTAACGGCTCTCGAATGAGGTGTCAAAATTAAAATTTGACACTGGTGTCAAATGATTCTACCTCATACATATATATATGGGTAATGAAGTTCTCATGCTGCATAAGAAGAGGGCACATTTCTACTGACCTATCGACCCTTGTGCTTCTACTTTTTTGAATTATTTTTTCTCTCTCTCATAATGGGTCCCACTTTGGTTGAGTGTGTATAAGAAAAAAATTTGGTTCCTATCACATGATAAATGTAAAGCCCTATATATATATATATATATATATATTATATATATATATATAGAGGCAAGATCCTTTGACACCGGTGTCAAAGGAAAAGTTTGACACCTCATCTGAGAGCCGTTAGATTAAAAAAATCAATGGTGTCACATGCTTACAAATCAGAATCGTTGATTTTTTTTAATCTAACGGCTCTCAGATGAGGTGTCAAACTTTTTTTTTGACACCGGTGTCAAAGGATCTTGTCTCATATATATATATATATATATATTTGTTTTGTGGGAATGGAATTTAAGTTTTTTTCCCATTTTATTTTACATGTATTGCCAACTGAGCTAGACTTATGGGCAATGTTATGAGACGCAACCTAATCATTGACCCGGTCAAGGTACTAGTTTATTAGGTTATTGATTCAATCGGTAGGTCACCGATTGAACCGCATGACCAACTTAGTATATAAAAAGAGATCTATTTATCTTATGTTGCATAAGATAAATAAGTTTTCTACACACACAAAGTGGAGGTTGGTCTCACATCTATTTTTTCTCTCTTCTCTTACATGTGGGTCTCACTTATAATTCTATTTTTATAACATGAGACAACCATTTTCCTACAACATAAGATAAATATAACCATATTTTCTGAAAATTTGCATGTCCGACACGTGGCCGACACGGACACGTTTCGACACGCGTCCGACACGCGGTCAACATTTGGGGACACGCGGTCAACTCTCGGACACGTTCCGACACGTTTTTCCGACACGCAGTTAACTTTTTCGGACACGCAGTCAACGCTCGGACACGTTTTTATTTTTTTATTTTTTATTTTATTTTTAAATCTTAATTTTATTTTGTTGACTAAATATAAAAGAAATAATTTATAAATTAATTCTTTTTCTGTTATGAAATTTGACATGAAAAATTAACAAAGTACGAAAAATTATTTATATTTATATCTATGTTATGAAATTTAAATATTTGATTGGTTATATGACTTATTATGGACTCTTATATGTATTAAATATAAATTATATTATATATTAAAAAAATTATTTAATATCAAAACGTGTCACAACGTGTCGAAATATGACATTTTTTAGAATTAACGTGTCGTGTCCCGTGTCCGTATCCGTACATCATAACATATACATATAAAAAATTGTTACACAGTGCTGCAAATATATATAATTTTTGTAGGGATAAAAAAGATTATATATGGTAACCACATATAGTATTTATAAAAGAAATAAACAAATAAAAAAAATTCAAGTATCAAATAACTACATATAATTCTTCTACCAAACATCTTCAACTAACCATATTTAATAATGGGGAATGATATTGTAATAACTAAGTTGTGTTACTACTAATGTTACTACCAGTCAATCTCACCGTTAGATCGATTATGTCAATCCAACGGTTATATTTATTTCCATCTTTGTATGGTTATGATTCTCCATATTTAAAGTGAAAGCATTAAATATGGGAAATCATAACCATACAAATGTGAACATAAATATAAAGTATTAAATTTGAAAAATTATGACCCTACAAAGATGGAAATAAATATAATTGTTAGATCAACATAATCGATTTAACGGTGAGATTGATTGATAGTACCATTGATAGTAACACAACTTGATTGTTACAAATTACAATATCTTATCCTTCCCCTTTAATAATTACAAGGCATTTATCAACAACTCTTTCCATAAAAATGAATTTGCAAGGAAACAATATCTCACATTCTCTTAATTTACTGTTTTATAAATTGCTTCAATCTTTGAAGCTGAAATTTAAGATTATAGTGGAGTATATTATTAGCCAACAAAATTACTAAATATTTTGAAAGAAATTTTACACTTTTTTAAGAAAATTTTACACTTTTTTAAGAAAAGACCAAACAACTTTGATTGTTAATTTATTTTTTTATGGGCAATGTTAATCTTATGCAACATAAAAATTTTCTTATCTTCTACTCATACATTGATACTTGTGTCATTTCTTTTTTTATTTTTTTTCTTTTCTTTTTTATTGGGCCCCACTTCAAGTTAAGTGTGTAGGAGATAAAAAAAAAATTCTGTCACATGAGAGTATATTTACCCTTTTTTTATATAAAAATGCATGACTTGATGACCCTGTCGGATTTCATTTTTAATAAAACCCAACCAGTTCGAATCAATTTTTACCGATGCATAGCCACTGCAGTATTTAACTCGAACCAGTTACTTCATCAGGTTTGAGGTCAATCCAACCAATTCGAATCGGATGTGATAATACTGTATGGGTATATGTATCTATTCTAATTCAAATCAAAAACTGATCTGTACTACTTTCCTTGCGCCCTTCAGGTAACGTCTTATCCCTAGTAACACCTCACAATCAACTCAAACATCTCACTGTTATGTTAAATCAAACGTCACAGGCATGCGTGCACTTCAACCAAATATTGTAAATTCACTAATTACAAATTCATTTTCACGGATGACGCCAATCAAGAAAGAGACAAAATGTTTTTAATTTTATGTCAAATACCTTGATTTCCCTCACGAAGGAAGGAACATGCTCGTTTACTTTATACGAGAGATATAAATATTTTATTTTATTTTTAGTTGAGATATTTTAGATCATTTTATTTTGTAGTTATGCTCTTCTATATAAGAGCCTCGTTTGTACAAATTAATCACCACAAATCAATGAAATCAATATTTTATATTTTCTCTCTTTTACCTTCTAATATGGTATCAGAGCATTTTTATCCTCCATGAATGGAGCTTCCGCTGCCATCATATTTTTTTTTAGTTTTCTCTTCATCGTTCTTTCTGAGTTTTTTATTTTTCCAGATCTGGGTTTCCTTTGTCAAGATCTATATATTTTCTCTCACTTTCTTCTAGATCTGTGAATTTTATTTTATTTTATCATCAGAGCTCTTCGTCTCCGTTCTTTTTCTTTTTCTTTTTTGGACCACCATGATTTCGTGTTCACATTCCTATAGCAAGCTGTTCGAGTTTGTCGGAACCGGATCTGGTTCACGTCTCCGTTCGTCTTTGCAGTCTCCATCGGTTTCTCGTAACCGTTCGAAGAATATGAATCGATGGAGATCGGCAAAATAGATCAGTGACCACTGAAATGAATTTTGATAGCGGAAGAGAAAGGATTGAGAGAGAATTGTCAGACCTAGAGAGAAGGTAAGGGAGGGTGAAGAGTAAAAATTAAGATTATAAGGATTGATTGTGAGTCATTAGATTTAATTTTGATCTAACGGTGATTAAGTTGATTGTAAGGGTCATAAATTTGTATGGATAAGTATAACTCCTCCTTTTTTCTTCAGGTAGAAATTTGATGCACTTACAGTTGACCAATTGTACATGGGCCAACCATTGATTCAAGAAGCTCGTAGTCAACTAGAGTTGTGGCCCAATGAGTATGACCCAATTGTTGAAAGAGGCAATGATTTGAAATATAACAAATTACAATCAAATCCAAGTCCCAATAAAACAGCCGATGTGATTGTGATTTGTTTGGGAAGAAAAGGAAAGCAACATATTTGGTGTGATTTGAGATCAAAGATTTGGGATGTATTTTGAATTTTTTATTTATTTTTAGATGTTAATTACTGTTATTTTAATTTAGGAAGTTTTATTATTTTTAGAATTTTAGATTTTTGAATTTCGAATCAATTTGTAATTAGTCTATAAAAGGGTGCTTATGACCCTTATTCTAGGAGTTGAATTTTGTTATTTTGAATATAGAAATTGTGAACCGAAGAGTTACTCTCTTGAGAAAATCCCAACTTTCTGTTTAGCCACTTTTCTACGCGCTTTCGGCATCAAAATCACTAAAGGGGCATTTGGTGCGTGAGTAAATTTTGGATTCCCAAAAAATTGATATTGAAAATTTTATTTACCTACGTTTAGTACAAGGAAGTGTGAAAACTTTTCTGGGAAAATTACATTCCCAAGATTTTAAAATGTTTAGCAAAATCCCAATAAATAACATCACCCCACAAGTGGTATTTTGAAAATCCCACACGATGGGATTATACTCTCAAGTTTTTCAGACAAAAATACCCTAGGCCATCACCAGTACTCATGTTATCCTCGACTATTTTGATAAAAAGAAGCTAATGGAAGCTCAGGGTAGTGACTAACCCTTTACCAGGCTTCAGGCCTCACTACCAACCAGCAAGGCTTCATTAAGGTTGCACAAGTCGGCAATGACAATATCGCCTTCTGCTCCGTTGTAAGCGATGCCCCTATGTCAAGCTCGTGAAAACCGTTACCACCGAACCCTACAACATCTCCATTCTCCAAGTCATCAAATCCATCATTTTCCCTGGCAATGATAGCTCAC